AAAAAACCCGCGTTAAGTGAAAGTTCAGCTTTGGCAAGGCACCGCGTATATGCGAAAACGCGTTAAGTGAAACCGCGTTAGGCAGGGTAAAACTGTATAACATTCTGGTAGAAAAGGGCAATAATGTATCTGGTGTAATCCTTAGTAGGTGATCCTGTAGTTACATCCCTGGTGGTAATGTATTAGCCCCTGTCTTATAGGCATACGTATTTATATAAATGTGGGTTAATTACATGAGACTTGTATAACTATCATCCCCTGTAACTTTCCACTAGCTATGAGGTTCATGTTCAGAGCACGTGATAAGGTGTGCCCACGGGAAGCCACGTCACTTAGTGCTGACCTAAGGGATAAGTATCCGGCTCCCTGGCCACCTATTGTGGGCAGTAGTTTGACATCACTGACAAGAGGAAGACGTTATTTAGAGCCATTGTTGATGTGCTCCGTCTTTCCTCGAGGGAGGACGTCGGATATATTCCGTTCTCCCTCGACGAGTCTCTACTCAAGATCACTCCCACTCTCACATCAAACGGACGTATTTTAGAAGAGCTAATATAAGTTAGCCTCCGTCCTCATTTAACACTCATAGCTACAGTGATTAAGTTACGGTGATAATTTTTTTTAAGTGTACATAAAAACAATTTATAATAAATACACAAAAGGGACCTATTGGATTTCGTTAATGAAGACCCAATAAACTTTGATCGATATGATAGTTCGTCTAAAATATAAGGTAACATGCTTCACAAGTGATTGTTACAAGTGGTGACAACCCAGGAAGATTGTTATTTATATGACAGCTTCACAAGTAACAGATACACAGTTGGTAAACGTAGAGATATTATTTTCTCCCCATTACTGTGTTATATACTGTTACCCAGAGGCTATAGTTACAGTAACAACGAATGCACCTTATTTCTGGGTAAACTTCAAACCTAAATTGTTTTACCCCTTTTTATAATTAATAATAAAGTTTAGCATAATTAACGTATGATATAACCACAACTAACAATATGAGCATATTAGTTTAGGAGAGTATGAAGCAAGTACCCAGTATAGGGAGCTTACGGAAACATTAGTGATCAATGTGAGATACCTGGGTCAACTGAGAGTAACCGACTGGTTATTTAATGACATCAGCTAGGCAGTGGTGAACAGAGGTCATGTGAAAGACAATAAAGGTTAGGTGACATGCATGTCACTTGCTTCAGTATTTACTAGCCACTTGTTCATAGTTTAATTACCCTGGGTGCTGTAATTATATAAAACTAATGCATGTAGCCCTAAATCATACAAAATAAATATTACTGTCTGTGAGACAGGGGCTAATACAACTTCCCCCTTCACGTTCATGTGATCGAAGGTGGTGAAAGAGTTGATATCCCTCAATGTGGTACGTCTTAGGAACAATTTGCCACGCCTTGCAGATGGCAACGACATTGGCAGTAACTGACCTGACTCTGATGGCGTGCCAAATTTGTTGGCGAGGGAGGTGACGTTGGAGAGTAGTAAGAAGAGGAGATTGTGTCATATTCGGTGAACTTCAGTGTACTGGTACGGTCTGTCAGGAGTAGGTTTCCCTGGTTTTCTACTGGAGGTGATGGTCCTGATGGACTTCTGTTTATGACGTCCTTGTCTACGACTATGAGAATGTTATATGTTCAGTGATTTTAGTAGTACTGTAACGACCACGGTCTTACACGTCAGTTAGCGCCAAAATCAAATGATTCATATTACGCTCGATAGCCCACAAAACATGTAACTCTGCTTTCGTTTGAGTCCTCCATCTGAGGAGTCCGTTTTCTCATCACTTCAAGACACCTCAGTCCTCCGTTATCCCATTTTCTCTGACTTACTGAAACCAACCTCTCTATAAAATTAATTTGAGTGTGAGAGAGAACACCCTTGTTTTGAGTCAACTTAGATATGTCTGTTTACAGTTGGAACATACAAGATCCATTGTGAGTGGTGTTGAACGCTTCAACTGTCCTTATTGTTAGTAAAACGTGTCAAGTAAGTGAGTGTCGAGTTGGCCAGCTAGAGTGGCGTATTTTATGTCGTCCGTGGGGATATCCATGAGTTTCTGATCGCGCCTGAAGTTATATCATTTTGTCGCCCCGACATCAGAGAATCTGATGTTTATAGTTTAGTTAGTGTCAGTTGTCTATTTAAGAAGGTCATTAATCTCCTGAACTATTCTGTCAACTGGTATAATCTCCAAGATCTAGCGTCTCCGTGAATAGCGCCTTGTTCGCCTCAGGCCTGAGCTTGCAGAATTAATGTTATCAACGTGTATATTCCACCTTTTCCTGGCAAGCTCAACCTCTGATTAGATTATATGAATAGACATAGGAAATTACCCTGATCAAGAACACCGGAGTTCATAACTAAGTATACAGTGATCCAAAATGGTAGAGAAGTTATGTTGTTGGTAAGATCGACCCTTCTGATATGAATGCGGAGGCCCAAGCTGCCCCGCGGGTGCACGTATATACCTCTACACGAGGGAGAATCACGCATTCGTGACTCTTCCTCAACGTCTCTCCAGGTATGTTAACGTGTGTTCCCCGCCGCCTATTAATTCAGTTTAACTTAGTCAATTTTGGTGAATATCAGTGCTCATGTGTTAACATAGTGAATTCTGTGCCAATTAAGTCGAGTAACGTAGAGATTTAGATATCATCTGAACCGTTGCCAGGCGTATGTTTTGTATAGTTGAAGTTAGACATTTACGCATTCGTGACTCTTCCTCAACGTCTCTCCAGTGTGTTGAGCTGAATACTCATCTGCTAACGTGGGTCGGTAACCGGGTTGAACGATACCGTTAATTCGACAGGATTAAACTGGGAAGTCCGTTTCCTGCAAATCAGGCGCCAGCTCCCTGGGCGTGTGTCGGTCTACAACCGACCCCTAACAACGATCTTCATTTGTTGTAGAGACCAGCGTTACCCTGAGGCACTCCTCACAGTTACATGGGCCTAAGTATTATTGTATCTTGTTTGGGGAATAACTAGCCGAAATATAGTATCCCAGGTTAAGTATTGAACCACTGAATGAGAATTAAAAGTGCCATGTTGTTCCTTGTGAATTAACAGGAGGTATTGTATGGTGCGATAATTGTGGAGTTGTCCAGTATGCTATGTATTCATCGGTAGTGACCATGAAATGATAATCTGAGAGTATAATGATATAACCAAGAAGTGAAGAGTTAATTTGCTACTTGGTAAGGTAAGACCTGAGGGACCAGTGATATCTGGTGTATACCCAGTACTGAATATCATTTGGCAGAGTGATAATACCACAATTGTCGATTGAAGTAATAAGTACTTGGAGGTATTCAATGAGGTAATAAGTTCTTGAAGTGTTTGATGACTTAATAAATAAATTGCAGTTCTGTTTTGTCTGAGTGAATCTAAGATGCATCTTGTCCAATCACTGTGTTAATAAATATTGAATTAGTAATCTACGAGTATCACCACTCTATCCTTTCCCACATTGGTTCTCAGAAAATAACTAACTCACGTGCCTAGAAGCTCGCTACCTAACAGTTAACTAAGATATGCTATATTCAAATAAAATCCTGGGTGGTGGCAGGTCTACCGCTGTAAGTATAATAAGTGTGGTAATAAGAAAGACATGGTTTCCCAGGTTAATCCATGGTTTAGAATATAACGAACAAAATATATGGAAGAGATTATAATATATGAAAGGAAATGAAAAGAAAGAACATTGACTTGGAAAATATAAGCAGAGAAGCATAAGAGTTACTTATGTAAGAATATATGGTATATAGAGATAAAGAACATATAAGAATATAAGCAAGAATATATAAGAATTAGTATATATGTAAAGAATTGAAGAAGGATAACTATATAAAACAGGATACTCATTGGAAAGAATGCTACAACGAACATATAATTATATGAATAAACAAGAAGACTAACAGAAAAGAATATCTGGATGGTAAATTATAAAAAGAGAGAACTCGGCCCGTTACAAATCCTGGCAGCGGTGGGATGATATCTAAATCTCAACGTTACTCGACTTAATTGGCACAGAATTCACTATGTTAACACATGAGCACTGATATTCACCAAAATTGAATAAGTTAAACTGAATTAATAAGCAGCGGGGAACACAAGTTAACATACCTGGAGAGACGTTGAGGAAGAGTCACGAATGCGTGATTCTCCCTCGTGTAGAGGTATATACGTGCACCCGCTGGGTGGCTTGGGTCTCCGTATTCATACCAGAAGGGTCGATCTTACCAACAACATAACTTCTCTACCATTTTGGATCACTGTATACTTAGTTATGAACTCCGGTGTTCTTGATCAGGGTAATTTCCTATGTCTATTCATATAATCTAATCAGAGGTTGAGCTTGCCAGGAAATGGTGGCATATACACGTCAATAACATTAATTCTGCAAGCTCAGGCCTGAGGCGAACAAGGCGCTATTCACGGGGAGATTCTAGATCTTGGAGATTATACCAGTTGACAGAATAGTTCAGGAGATTAATGACTTTCTTAAATAGACAACTGGCACTAACTAAACTATAAACAGCAGATTCTCTGATGTCGGGGCGACAAAATGATATAACTTCAGGCGCGATCAGAAACTCATGGATATCCCCACGGACGACATAAAATACGCCACTCTAGCTGGCCAACTCGACACTCACTTACTTGACACGTTTTACTAACAATAAGGACAGTTGAAGCGTTCAACACCACTCTCAATGGATCTTGTATGTTCCAACTGTAAACAGACATATCTAAGTTGACTCAAAACAAGGGTGTTCTCTCTCACACTCAAATTAATTTTATAGAGAGGTTGGTTTCAGTAAGTCAGAGAAAATGGGATAACGGAGGACTGAGGTGTCTTGAAGTGATGAGAAAACGGACTCCTCAGATGGAGGACTCAAACGAAAGCAGAGTTACATGTTTTGTGGGCTATTGAGCGTAATATGAATCATTTGATTTTGGTGCTAATTGACGTTACAGTACAATAATGCTGCCATCAGGATATCTGTTCCCTTGCTTTAAACTGTACAAGGTGCACCTGGAGTAGTTCACTGGTGGACATATGTTGATGTCTGTTATTGTGGACGTAGGGAAGTGTTTGTCCAAGGTGGCCTTCAACTCAATGGCGGCACCTTGAGGGTTACTGAAAGAATTTCCTTGGTGCAGTACACTGGTAGACATCTGTACATATTTGTCTGGTCGTAAACACACGCAGTACTCCTTGTCTCTGGTAGTTTGAGGGTCACCGACACAGTGCCCACGGTCTAGTACTACACTGCTCACTGGTGACTTGTTGTGAATCATGCTTGTTTTTTCCTTGGGATTCACTACTGGATCACTGTTTGATAACCAATCATTGATCACTTGAATGTTTTGCTGATAAATCCCTGGTGTAGTGAAGTTGGTGAGATGGGGAAGTAGTGCGTGCGTGCATGCGTGTTGTTGGATTTTGTATACAATTACATCATAAAATTCAATACCACGACAAGCACATATTGGAAGACTATTTGTTTTCCACTCTAGTGCAGTAACTGAAACTTTGGAGTCAATAAACACAAACTTGCGACGGCAGGAGCTGAAGGGGAAGGAAAAGCTGAAGGACATGTTAATAGTCTAGTTGGTCTCCACCCAGGGCGCTTCTAACTAACCTTGGCTCTGTTATGGAGTTAATGTTTGAAGACTACACTAACCTGGAAGGGATGGCAAAATCAAGAATTTCTTCATTTGTCCAGTTGGCATCCACCAGGGGCACTACGTGGCACCAATAGTTCGGAGTGGCGCCTAGAAACTGATAAGAAATTGCCTGGAAAGGCGAGACAAACGTACCTGAAAATATTAAACAAATAATAATATTTCACCTGGTAATATATTAAATTTGTCTGAGAATTACTCATTTTAAAATATCCAATCATTCCTTATAAAAAAATTTATATATATATATATATATATATATATAAATATAGTATATATATATATATATATATATATATATATATATATATATATATATATATATATATATATATATATATATATATATATATATATATATATATATATATATGCAAGTAAATCACTGTACAGTAGGTGCGCGTGATCTAGGTATATGCTGATAACCACAAGGAAAGAAGAAAACACGAAGTTCCCAAGCGCTTTCGTGTAATTCACATCTTCAGGGGTGAGTACAGACAGTCTGTACTCACCCACGAAGTGTGAATTACAGCCTAACTATGTTTCTCTTTCCTATGGTTATATATATATATATATATATATATATATATATATATATATATATATATATATATATATATATATATATATATATATATATCATTAGCCCAATAAAAGCACGCGGACTTCTACATACAATCAACACCTCAACCCGCCAGGATTCGAACCCTCTGCCCACGAGCCCATGACTGTGACGGGGGAATGGAACGCTAACCGCTGGACCACCAGGATTAGCGGTTAGCTGGTGGTCCAGCGGTTAGCGTTCCCGGGTCATAGTCATGGGCTCGTGGGCTAAATTAAACGTGGGTTCGAATCCTGGCCGGTTGAGGTGTTGATATATATATATATATATTAGGGTGGTCCTTATGTTTCAACTTTGGAATTTTTTACCACAGACCCTGCTAAAAGTGTGCATTTAGGACAAAAACATTGTGTGTATAGTTATTTTTAAATATATTAATATTTAGAGGTTGCTCAAAGCTGTCAAAAATTAAGTAATCGATGTAGTCGATTACTTTGTAGCCGATTACGCCCACCACTAGTACGTCGCATTTGGCACGATTGTGGTGAGTTTTTGCTGGTCGTGATTGATGATTTGGGAAATTAGAAACAGCTCTGCAGAGTATTCTTATTATTAATTTATATTAATAGTTGATTTATTTATTCCTCAGGTCAAAATGGCTAATGCAGGAGTAAAAACACGAGAAAATGTGTATTTGATAAAGACATTATGTGATGACATTACAGGGGCTAAGTTACCTTCAAACAGGCAAGTGTTACAGTATTTCTTAAGCCTGCATCGCATACAGAAAAAAACCATCAGAGTGGCAGCTGGGGAAGTCACAGACAAAGTTTTTCAATTTTGGACAAAAGCAAACATTCCCACACACCACAAACCAGATTGTGTGAATCAAGTGCACAAAATGTTTGACAAGTGGAGTAGTTTGAAAAAGAACTCTTCAAGAAAGACAGAAACTCAAAAGCAGAAAGAGAAAGAGTTCACTGATACATTTGAAGATCTCTTTGACATTGCACATGTGAATGCTTTGAATATGATGACAGTTCAGGAGGATAAGGATTTCTTAATAGCGCAACGAGAAAAAGGGCGTCGTGGGGCAATGTCATCTCTTGACAAAGTATTCCTGAAAAGACAGAAACGACGAGAAAAAACTCTCAAGAAAGCAATGAAAAGGAAGTTGGCTGCAGACAGTGCAGAGGAAGAAGCCAAAAAATGCCAGGCCATCGTTGTCTTGGACAGCAGTAGTACGTCTTCTTCTGAGGAATCCAACCCAGTTCCTGGCCCATCAGCACTTCAAACTCCACCTACTGTCAAGAAGCGTGGGCGAAAAGAAGTTCTAACTCCAGAACTTTCTGCAGCATTAGATCGGACCAAGTCCTCAGATAGAATGGCCATGCACATTGTCACCCAAACTGCTCGGAGTCTGGGCCATGATGTCAGTGAATTGATTCTGAATCGATCAAGCATCAGGAGGAAACGTCAGCATCATCGCAGTAGCAGGGCAGCTGAAATCCTTTCAAACTTCAAACCAGAGTCAGTTTTAATTGTTCACTGGGATGGTAAATTGATGGCTGATTTGACGGGGCATGAGGCCATGTTGACAAACTCTCAGTTCTTGTCTCAGGCAATGGCACCTCCCAACTTCTTGCTGTTCCAAAACTTCCCTCTGGTACCGGTGATGAACAAGCAAAAGCTATTGTGAAGGCTTTGCAGCAATGGCACATTGCAGACATCGTGAATGGCATGTGTTTTGATACAACAAGCTCAAATACTGGTCACCACAAGGGTGCGTGTGTCAAAATTGAACAGTTGCTGGGTCGTGATTTGCTATATTTTGCCTGCCGCCACCATGTACTAGAACTTGTAGCTGGAGCTGCTTTTGAAGCTGTAATGGGGCACTCAGCTGCTCCTGACATACAGCTGTTCCGAAGATTCCAAGCCAAATGGGAACAAATTGACAAGCAGAACTTTGAAGACTCCTCCACCGACGATCTGGCAGAAGAATCGGTCAGAGCTGTTAGGGACGATCTAACCAACTTCATTAAGAAGTGCTCTATTGGAGACACAGCTTCGAGATGATTATCGAGAGCTGCTAGACCAGGCCTCCATCTTCCTTGGCACATCACCTTCTCGGAGAGTACGATTTTCTGCTCCTGGTGCAATGCACCAAGCACGATGGATGGCAAGGACCATTTATTCCTTCAAAGTGTGGTTATTCCGTTCTCAGTTTAAGCTTACTCCAAAGGAGAACAGAGGACTAAGTGATTTGTGCATTTTCTTTGCCCGAATATATGTGAAGGCTTGGACAACTGCTCCACTTGCTGCAAAGGCACCAAAAAAAGATCTGATGTTGCTTAAAGCTCTACAAGACTACAGTACCATCAACGATGCCATATCAAAGGCTACTTTCCACAAAATGATAAGACACCTCTGGTACTTGTCAGAAGAGTTGGTTGTATTGGCCTTCTTTGATGACAATGTTCTCCCAGCAGTGAAGGATTGCATGTTGGAAGCTATGAACATCGTTATTGGAGAAGAAAAGCATGTCAAACCGGTTACAATCAATCCAGACACACTCTAAGTGAAGAACCTATATGATTTCACGACAAAAAACACAAAGTCATTTTTCAAAAAGCTCAACTTGAATACAGATTTCCTGGCCCTCCCAATAGAACAGTGGAAAGATGATCCTGGCTTCCAAAATGCAAAAGCCAGTGTACAAGCTTTGTCTGTGATCAATGATCATGCAGAAAGAGGAGTAGCCTTAGTCCAAGATTTCTCAGGCCGCATCACCAAGGACAAACAGGAACTGCAGTATCTACTGCAGGCAGTTGCTGACCACAGGAAATCATTCCCTAATGCCCTCAAGCAGACCTTACTGGGCGACAAAGAGTGAGACTGGTCCTCATGCGACCCTTGCATTAAGCAGCTAATACCCACTTAGACTAAGTGGGGGGGGTGGGGGGCCCAGGCTTGGAAATGGCTAGGAAATGATGTGTTATGAACATTAAGCATAGGCATAATATTGTTAAATTTCACTTGACTTGAGCAACCTCTAATTATTAGGATATTTAAAAAATATTTTACAGGCAACGTTTCTACCCCAAATGAAAACTTATGCCAGGGTCTGTGACAAAAACATGGCAAATTTTGTTTTTTGCCCCAAAATAAGGACCACCCAAAAAATATATATATATATACATATATATATAAATATATATATATATACAATCAACACCTCAACCCGCCAGGATTCGAACCCATAGCCCACGAGCCCATGACTGTGACCGGGGAACGCTAACTGCTGGACCACCAGGATACAAAAGCAGTCCTAGACTCTGTTATATTTCACACAAAGCCTGTTCAACGAGCTTATGGCGCCGTGAACCTCTAATGGGGACTACCCGTATCACGTAGGTGGTCAAAGTAACGTTTTACCAAATCCTGGCGGGTTGAGGTGTTGATTGTATGTAGAAGTCCACGTGCTTTATTGGGCTACTGAAATATATATATATATATATATATATATATATATATATATATATATATATATATATATATATATATATATATATATATATATATATATATATATATATATATATATATATACATACAGGCATCCCCCGCGTTACGGAAGCCCGGGTTACGGAATTTGTAAATTATGACCAATAATTTCGCGTTACGGCCCGTAAATCCGCCCTTACGGAAAGTGGGGTAAATTTTAACAAACACAAGGCCTCACACATGCCATTCAGACTGACAGACAGTTGAAGCTTTAAACATCACTCACAATGGATCTTGAATATTCCAACTGTAATCAGATATACCTAAGTTGCCTCAACAATTGCAACCCCAGCTGCAATATCAAATTCTGTGTCACCACTAAAAAATAAAACAGTTGTCCCTGGTGCACTCTTAAGATTAAGAGAAAACGGACGACTCAGGCGGCCTTGAAGTGAGAGAAAACGGATTCCTATGACGGGGTACTCAAATAACCATACACATAATGCAATATTATGCAATATTAACCCCTAAATTGGTGTTTTAAGAAGGTATATCATAAATTATTTAATATACTGTATTGTATGTGTCTATAAATGTTTATTTTCATTAATAAAAGTGCTTGAATTACTTTTGGGGGGCCGAAAAAATTCCTTAGGAACGCATCTCCAGTTTTATAATGGAAGTCAATGGGAAAATAGGTTTCGCGTTACGGAATTTCGAGATACATGTACATTTTTGTATTGTACATTTTTGTATTGTACCAAAACTTTCTCTCCTATACCCTTCCTCTTTCCCCCTCTTATCTTTCGTTTATCTCTCTCTCTCTCTCTCTCTCTCTCTCCATCCGATTTTAATCTTTATTGAATTGAATTGAATTAAATTGAAACAGTTTATATAGCCAGAAAAACACAGATACAGAGTGGATAATAATAACAATATTAACATGGTTGAGCCAGTTGAGAACCTGAGCTCTCTTTGAGGCACCTGATATATACTATACATTTATCTCAAGGAAGTATTATGTAACATTTAGTATCATCTGGAATACCACAATAGCATGGTGGTAATAAGAACATCTCATAATGTTACCACGGTTATCTCACTCAATTGTCCCCCTTTCTGTGGTTGAAAACATACTGGTACATGAGGCAGCACACGTTTGAGGCAACAAGCAAGATATGTTGCAAGGTAACGGAGGCAAGAGAAACATACATAAGCAGGCAAGGACGATGACGGTGAGATTCCATCGGCCAGAAGTGCCTGCTAACTCCTGCAGGTCTTCCAGGCTCTCTATCATGGCGTTACTGTCATTCCTGCTGTCCTGTTTGCTGTTTCTCACATCCACACTTTCCTCCTTCACTTTCTTCTTCCAGTTTGCTGCTATCACATCAGGGGATTCCACGCCGACTCCGTTTACAGTATCCTGTAGGAGATCAACCTATTAGTCACAAGCAACTTCAAAATTACTAGATTTTGAATGCCTAATAAAAACATCTCACTTTAGACGATCAACAAACTCTGAACTATCATGTTTATTCCAAAGTACTACAAAAAGTAAACAATAATCCAACCCGAGATCTCCACTTGGAAACAAAGAGTGGTAACCACGACACCAAAAGGACAATAAAAGCGATCGTACACTATGTGTTTTCTGCTAAGAAGACCATATTATAAATTCAACTGATGCCATTGTCTCCACCTGTTCCCATAACTAAAATCAGTCTATTAAAATGATATGGTTGGTAACGGAATAATGATAAAAACAGTGTATCTTGATCATCGGAAAACATAATTTTTGCGAATACATTATGTCGGTGTTCAACGGAACGCCACACACCTTAAACTGGTCCACCCACTTCTGGGATATAACACCAGCATCTTGTTTTAGTTAACTGTACATCTCCACCACTAGCATGGGGGTGGATGCTCGGTAAGAAGCTGTAGGGTTTCCTGAGAGTGGTTGGTGGTTAGCATTTTGGCAACCTTCTCTGCTGTGATAGAGGGGTTGTATGTTTCTCATTAGCTAACTGTGTTCCAGGGCACTCTATGAGGTAGTGCTGCAGTGCGTTTTCGGCTCCGCTGTCGCACGTCATGCACAATGATTTCCCACATGCATGGGTATCCCAGTCTCAGTTGGTGAAAGTTGACTTCTTCCCTTCTTGTTATACCCTTCATGAGTGGTGGTCTCTCATAATTCGTGACCATGTCATGGTCACAATGACGGCTGGTCTGTTTGAAACCTGATGATTCATATTATACTCCACGCCTGCAAAACATGTGGATAACTGGTGAGTTATCCCTAGGAAGAAATGCGTTTTCCCTCTCTTTAGGTGCCGGCCATATTGTCCAAGATCTTAATGTATATACACAAAGGCTCCTTGTCCATAAGTCCCGCCCATTTGGGGTACTAACAATTGTCAACGTGTATATTCCACTTTTTCCTGGCAAGCTCAATCTCTAATTAGTTTATGTAAATCAACTTAAGAAATTCGCCAGACCCATGTCAACTGAGGGTCATCTTTGAATGTGTAGCAGTTGATTTGAATGTGTTTCTGTCATTGCGTGAGTAGCCATCTCTGGCAACTCATGCCGTATATAAACCTGTGCGTGAAGGAGAAACGTCCCTTCCTTGACGTCTCCAAATTATCCCAGGTATGTGAACGAGTGTTCCCCGCCGATATAGTCATTCAGTTTAACTTAGTCAATTCTGTTAATATCAGTGTTCATGTTGTAGCAGTGAAATTGACATTTACCCAGTGTAAGAATTACTATAACGTAAATGTCGTCTGTCTCCAAATTATCCAAGGTCCAGTTTGAGTGTTAGTGAACAACCCACCGGCTGCCTGGGGTCGGTGGCTACCTAACAGTTAACTTTATTGGACGATGTCGCTGATTCGGCAGGATTAAACTGCTCAAGTCCGCATCCTGGAAACTAGACCCCAGACTCTCGCCATGTGTCAGACTACAACCGACCATAACAGCGATCTTCATTTGTTGAGACACCAGTGTTATACCCTGGGACACTCTTTGAAGTTATATGGTCCTCAGTATTTGTTATATATGTTTGGAGATAATTAACCGAAATATAATTATCCCATGTTGGGTAGTGAACACATAAAAATTGTTAGTATCAGTAATAACGTGTTATGTGTTGTGAGTGCATCCTCCATATGTACTACCAACAGTTCTAGTGAAGGTACCATATGTAAGTTTGTCATGTGGTGTAGTCTATGTAATGTACCACCAGTAATGTTGTAAGAAGCAAGAGTATCTAAATGGAATTGCAGATGGGTAAGGCCAAGGAGTTGAACTTTGTAGTTGTATGTTAATGACATCTTTTACCTAATTTAATTTCATATTAATAAACCATTTCTTGGAGTATATTAGGGGGTATCATTTTCCCTCAGTATCCACCTTTATTTTTGTCCAATGACTTGATACCAGAATTACAGTACCCATGTGCCCTAACTCTCGTCATGCTACCAAAGGTCAGAAGTGATGAAGTAACCATGAAATGAAATAATTAGACAGAACAAATGAAGGAAATAAGACAAAGAAAGAAGTATGAAATAAGAGTAAGGGATAGAAGAAGAAAACTCCCGCCCTTATAGTGGTGGCACAGGTGGTCGTGTAATTTACATGTAATCAAGTTGGGAGGAATGAATGTGATAATGTGGGTATTTTTTTTTTAAGTGTGATTTGTAATAACCATTTCTCTGCACAGGTACCTAATAACCATTTCACTGAAACTAATGAATATTTCAGATTGCTAATAATTTTGTTCTGTATTTTTCCAGTGTACAGTATAGTATGTAATTCTGTGCTAATTAAGCAGGGACTTAATTATTTCATTGGGTACTAATTTTGTTTGGTGGAAACAGAGTTAAGGAAATGTGCAAAACAAAATTGTGGTTTTGCCTTGAAATTGAAATAACAGTTCAAGGTAAATACTGTACAGTACTTTACTTGAAGTTAGGCAAGAACAATTGCCTCAAGGAAATTAGAAATCTTTTTAAAGTAAAGTGTACAGTACTTGTAATGCTGTTATGTGGAAACATGAGGTCTGTCAATAGGTTAGGGTTGTCAAGGATCTGAGGGATGACTTTTCTACATATGAGGGTGCATTTAGCGCGGTATTCGGGTGAACTGAGGACCGTTAGGCCATTGTCCCTCAGTCTGTTGTTCATTGCTGGGGAGTGGAATAGGTCGGCATCTTCATCAGTTTGTACAAATATTTTGATAATGTCGTCATTGGTGAAGGAACGGATCTGAAATATACAGGTCAGCTGGAAAATAAGTGAGGCGAGGTCTGTGCACGGTTGGATGGTACGGTCCACTTTAATTTTAATTGAAGGCATGTTAACTGTTTGAATTGGAGATTTATGGAGATCTCCCCTAACAGTCCCTAATTTCCTGCGCCCCTCACGTAGGGGAGGCCCTGCACTATCACAGGGGTCCCCAGGCGAATCGGCAGGCTGTGCTGACCCTCCACCCTTCACACAAACACGCACTAGCGAGGTGTGGGGACAGAGGGCGTTTCCAGACGAATACTCCCCTGTACGTCAGCTGACAGGGGAATAGGTCCTTTCACGGCACGGAAGAGAAGGATTAGAGTAGAAGAAAAAGGTCTGAAAACTCACTGCCGACTCTCTCTTCACACCAAGCCCCTCAGCAGCATTCGGGGTTCCTAAGGGAGGTCCGATACTGTAGGAGAGGCTCAATGTGTTGATCGAATCAAAAGAATTGTCAGTTGGAGAATTGAAGTCAGGTGCTTTGGTTTTCCAAGGTACGTGGGAAGGTGGGATAGGTCCAATGACTAGCCAATCAGCTAGGTCATGGACGGTGTGGAGGGAATGGCGATGAAGTGGCAGCCGCGGTAGGTGTCCGGAGATTGACAGTCGATTTGTGAAGGTCAGGGGAATCAGCCCACGAGTCCAGGACCTCAGATGAGAACACAACCAGAATTTGAACGAACAGCGGGGTGCAAGTACAGTTGTGATGTGATGACGGCTGGGTCGTGTCTGGTGTGTGTCGAGGCGGCAGTGACGTTCTCACCTCCGTCTTCCCCTCCCCCCCCCCTCCAAGTGGGGGACGCGAACAAGCAAATAAGGGGCAGGCTTCCACCCTGCTCGTTACAGCCCTGACAATAGGCAAAACCCTTAATAGGATTTTTAGTCCCACACAGCCCCAAATCCACAACGTTCCAAAATATTCAATCCATTTCACCATTCCGTACACAGGCCCACTCAGTTTCACCCTTAGAAACAAACTTAAGAAACTTTTCAATGAATTATATCCTCAAATTTCTCTTAGACTAATCTTCAAAACCCAGATTTCAATTAAAAAAATCATTAAAATTAAAGACACCATACACACACACCTGTAATCCTCATTGTTTATCAATTTACGTGTGCTAGCTATAGAGCAGCACATATAGGTAAAACAAAACGACATTTGATAACTCGCATCTATGAGCACTTGGGCCGTTCCGTCCGAACAGGCCAGTTAATCACACAACCACCACATTCATCTATCCGTAACCACGCCCACCAACATGACCACCCGTTTTCGTGATCTGATTTCTCAGTTCTTGGCAGGAGCCACTGTGAGACGGGCCTCTTCATTATGGAAGCTGTGAATCAGTATAAAGGAAAGCCATCCATTTGTGATGTGGCTTCCTGTGAATTGTTGTA